AGTTCACGACGCTGCTGTGCTCCTGGCCCCTGAAGTACCTTCAACACGAAGACTGACTCTATGGGTGTTCGTATGCGTACCAACTCCGGGAACTCGATGGTCTGGAACATGCTTGGCACGTTGGCAGTCCTCATTCGCACGCCGCAGTGACGTATTCGGAGGTGTTGCGTCAGCGATACCGCGCGGAGGATACCAGCGTAGCAGTCTGTACACCAGTTGCCCACAAATTGCACATCCACCCGCCGGACCGTTGCTGGCAGACGGAAACCTAGCTCAGACTGCAGGCCATTCTGACAGGTTTGCGGACAGTGGTAGAGACTGACTCGCAGCTCACAGAGATCCGGGAATTTGCTGCCCTCGTGCAGCTCGGGGTAGGGTTTAAATAGCTCCACAAAGTCCCCACTGCTGATGGCCTGTTGCGCAATGTCCAGCACCGAAATATTGTAGAAGGCCTGCTCATACACGAAGTAGGTGTGTCTCAGGAGGGCTAGCAGGCCACCAGACCAGGTTGGGCAGCCATTGGTCAGCCGTAAGTGGGTTTCGAGTTGTGCATGAGAGAGAAGGTAAGCGAGGTGAGTCCATTGCTGAGGTTTTGACTCATAAATGATGGCGTGTTGTGGAGGTTCTAGGGGCCAGTCCGGGTTGGCAATCTTGAGAGCATGGCGTTCGTGCACAGACAGATGTTTGTTGACACAGTGCGCAACAAGTTGATTGGGGAATTGGAATGACTAAAAGGAAGTAGCAGTTTGAGAATGAGATAGAGGTATTAGAAAAAGCCAAAAATGTGAAAATCCAAGAACTACATCGCGTAATTGGTTGTCACAGGGAAATTTACTACTTGAGGAATCAACTGGATGACGTGCCGAATGTCAATCTTCCTTCACTTGAACCATGGCCGATACGGAGGATATATGTAGCGTAAGGCCTGTTAGTGTTTTAACTGCACTTCACCTTAAAACGGCTGCGAATTTGACCCTCAGAGCGGTTTTATGAGGCCTATAATGTACAGCTAATTGATAGCGTGTGCATAGCCTATTCAACAGCCTATTCTGTGAGTATGACTCTGATGATGAATCCGCGATGGATTTCGAAACGTCAGGCGAATAAACTTACTGTCTTAGCTATTGAGTCATCGTCTATTTCTCAGATACGAATCCATCGCGTTATTACAGGCGCACCAGTATCAGAAGCTGCGACATACATTCGTCGCACCCGCGTCAACATCCGTCCACGCACATTTACTCATCGTCTGGGCTTGTTTGATCACAAATACACACTGCAAAGCTACTACTGTTCCCTCCCTACCCAACAACTACCGTCTCCAGCACTTACAGCCGCCCCTCCACCAGCGCGGCCAATACTAGTAATTTCACCCCAGTTCCAATCCAGCCTGCCCACAAATAAACAGCACGCGGCGTCCTGGTCGGTCACTTGCGAATCCGTTGCATAGAGAGTGGTAAACGAGGGCCTAGGACAGCAAAACACATCCGTTTTCATTGGTTAAACTGGCCGCATTGCCCTCTCACATGCAGGCACCGTATGGGTCCACACGATCATATGTGCCTTTGTAAAAGCCGATGGTAAATGTCTGTGCATAGTTCCCGATCAATACACGCAACACACATGAGCACGTCCGGTATCACACACACACGCCCTAGGCATAGACTAAACACCTTTCATGCATGTGAGGGTGTCAAGGGTCAATTCTTTCATCCCCCTTCCCCCAAACTGGGCACGTTCGCATTCGTCCTGGTCCAAAACGATACTGCCCAACGGCCACTCCACGCCCTGTGCTGGGTATTAAAAAGTTCTTCGAAGATCTGACAAGGAGTGTGTTGCCGATAACTGCGGCAAAGCTGAAACTGTCAGCACACGGCTAATGCACGGCCACGCCCCAGACTTGCGTGTTTATGTCACTTCGTGGCCATCAATTATCGAGGTGTTTGTGTCGCCAAAGGAGGGTTTCCCAAATCAGAAGGCTTCTGACTGCGAGCAAAGAGCTTTACAAAGGGCTCCGCCAAGCTCTAGATACCAGCCCTCTTCATGTAAGTTGTGTCAGTCAGTGCCTGCCCTCGGAATTAATTGACTCCGGGACCTGTCCTCTGTCTCCTGTAGCCAATCAGAACAGTAGTCGCCAAAGACCATGCAACTTTCGTGATGAAATTTGACTGGGTACTTTAGCGTATATTTAGTAAAACTATTTTGATTCATTCAGTTTGTTGAATTCTGCGAAAGCCTTTTAGCTACATAAATCGTCATTCTAGTTAGGTTTATTAGGAGAAATGGCCATTAATTTTGGGGAAATTGGGGGTAGTCTCATATCAAAGGAATTTCCTATGCAATTACGAAAGAGAGAACCAAACTACACTTAAATGTTGATAATACCAAGAAGTAGCTCTAAAATAAGGAGAACAGGTATAGAAGATATCCTTTTCAGAACTGGAAAAGTTTTTCGAAAATTGTTCAGATTCAAGTGAAGCCAAGTT